ATTCCCTCCTCAGAACCAATGATCCCTTCAGTGGTTTACTCGACAGATATAAGAACCGAAGTGACGCCACATTCGGCCAATTGATCCAAATGTTGGACCGCATCGAGAGGTATGACATCATCGACGACATGACACCCTTTCTTCGTGAAGACAGCAGACATTACAAGAGTGTTAAGCCGTCCAATGATTCTTCAGGTGCGAGACAATCACTGATCGCTTTCATTGTATTTATATGTGAAATGCATTTCAGAGCCAAACCACCAAATGATGGCAATTGAGCCCAAGATAATCATTTACGACGCGTACGTCTGTTACGCCGACAAAGACATTGGTTTTGTTGAACAATTGTCTCAATATCTCGAGTCTCCAAATGTAAGCAATGGTTGGAAACCTGTTTGGAAAAGAGATATAAACGAGATGTCTGTCCAATAGGTTGGTTTGCGTTTATTCATAAGGGATCGGGACTTATGTCTGGGTTCTTGGGCTTACGAGTCGTTTGCTCAGATGGTGACCTCCCAGTGCCGCAAAGTGCTCATCATTTTGTCGCCTGACTTCTTGGAGTGTCCCGAATGTGACTTTCAGACTGCTTTCACCACCGGACTGGCTATTGAACAGAGGAATAGAATATTGATTCCTATTATCCACAAGAGGTGTGATTTGCCACCAATCATACGAATGCTCACAAAGATTGATATGACCCGGAGCTTAGACACACCCGACTGGACCTGGAATCGATTGGTCAACTCTATTAGGATTCATTCCGCTAACCAATCATTTGTCACCAAATCCGTGGCTTATGAGAGTAAACCAACTCTTCTCCAGTTGCCGTCCGTTCCGTCCGATTCTCCAAACGGTTCACAACTTATATCCATTGAAACGATCAGCGATTCATGCATTTCATTGCCAACCCGTTGTCCCACACCCACAGCTCCTCCACTTATAATCACTCAGTCTTCTGTTTGCTCAACAAATAGTGAGATGTCTATCAAATCAGATAATTCTGAATGTCTTCCCATTTTAAGTACAGAAAAGGACAAGAATTCAAAGAAACTGATCCATAAAACATGGTATCAATCGTTACGACAAAAGTTTAAGAGTTGAGTTGAGAGACAATAATTGTTATTAAATTTGTTACAATTTATAATTTTGTTACAATTATACAACAGTATTAGTCTAGAACTTACAATATTTTACAACTTTTTACAAACGTTTTACAATTTATTTTTATATTGAAATTGCAATAAATACGAGAGAATGGAAGCGATTGTGATTAATACAAGAAGTCTTTGTTGTCTTGACTGCGGGGCTCTTTAATTTTGTTGAGGTTTTTAGTGACTAAATCGTGTAAATTCACGTAATAGTTGCGAATGTCAGTCAATGTGAGGCACAGATTCAAGTGAAACCTTTGGTCGCATTCCTTGACAGCGATCCGGAAGTCCTGATTGTGTGGATATTTGGCCACTTTTGCGATCAGATCACCTCTCGCCTCGAAATAGTTCTCGATTTTGTCGAATTTGTTGAGAACCTCTCCCTCGACACCAGTGATGGCCTCAATGGTCTCCTGTTGGATCTCAACGCCAAAGTTGTTTCCGTCTTCTATTTTGGGAACCATTAAACTGATGGCCAGTAAGTCTTCGTCATACAGAAGTGAGTTAAGTTAGTAAGCACCGAAGTTATGTCGCTCGTAAAGTTACTTGCAGAGTAACGTAAGCTGGCGAGGCAAGCCCTTCTCTTTCCCAAACCGCTATTACTAGACATCCTCAAAGTCCACGATTACATCCCTATTCTTCAGCTTCTGTGGAACCGATGACTCGTTTGACTTGTGGTCCGGAATCGGAATATTGAGTTCAAACGGCTTTATACTAGAGTTGAACGAAAACTTTTCCGATCAAAGTCCACGATTACATCCCTATTCTTCAGCTTCTGTGGAACCGATGACTCGTTTGACTTGTGGTCCGGAATCGGAATATTGAGTTCAAACGGCTTATATGATCTCAACTTGCTTTTGAAAAGGCTTAAGCTCTCTTGTAGGTTTACTTCATAAAAAGCGCCTTTGGAGAACTCTTAGTTAAGAAGCCGAAGAGCAAAGTGAAAGAGAAACTTACTTAACTAGTCTTCTTTGACTGTTTCTTACATTTTCTTCACTTTTATTTTCTAATTTCAAATTTGATTTTAAGATATAACTTAATTGTAATACATAATTGATCGTGCTAATAGGTTATTATTGTTGTATGAATGGCATGAGATACTGTATACTGTATATCATATACCTTACAATTTATTATACCTGGAATTTTAATCTCAATCAACAAATATAGATATAATTTTTATAAAGTTTTTAATTGGAAGTGGTTTGCAGACTGAGAATAAGATAATTGTTAGAATCAATACAATTAAAGATCCCTTTCCTCTCAATACAGTGCTTTCGTATTACACATGAAATGCAGAGTTTTAACAATTTTTGCGATAACTTTGACAACAATTTGACAAAAAAGTGTGAAAATCTAAACCAAACGAATTGACAGCTAATCTTAAAACAACAGAAGGATTACTCAAGACATCGAAAGATACCATTTCTTTAGTAATAAGTGAATCAATTGAAGCAAAAGATGAAAAACGAAGGAAAGGGAGGATCAGGTAAAGGGTCGACAACTGGTGGAAGTGGAGGTACGACTGGAACTCCTGGAAGGAGTGCATCCCTCGAGTCGACGGCATCGGTGTCCGCGGGAACCGCCNAAAAGATGAAAAACGAAGGAAAGGGAGGATCAGGTAAAGGGTCGACAACTGGTGGAAGTGGAGGTACGGCTGGAACTCCTGGAAGGAGTGCATCCCTCGAGTCTACGGCATCGGTGTCCGCGGGAACCGCCGGGCGATACACGGGTTCGGCGGCTACAGGAGGTGGTGGACAGGGAGTGCAGACACCGACACTTGTGGTGACGTACGGACGGGATTTGCACGACTCGTGTGCGGCCATCATATGGTGTCCCAAACACGAGAAGCTAGCGCTGAGTCGGATCGGCACCGGAAAGGGCTTATGGCTGCCGACGACAGCCATCAGGCAGGGGGAGGGATGGTATGACTCGATTCAGAGACACCTGAAGACTGTGCTGAGAGTCTCGCGCGAAGAGAGAGGAAAGGCTGAGAAGAGTTACCTGAGTTTCCGTCAGCCGCCAGCTCTCATCCACGTCCTCAGGTGTCAAATGCCTCAATACCTCGACTTCATTACGCGCTGTGTCTTCAGCACAGAACTCACTCATGAGGCCAAACACCCGTCCAATTGCTGCCCAAACAAGACGTCGGCCTCAGGACTGGTGTGGGTCTCGGGCGAAGAGATAATGAATGGTCGGGCCTTCCTCAACACCCCTGGCCTCGGGGCCTACAAGCAGCTGCGGTAAGAGTTGTTTGCCGAGGTTTCACAGCTGTTAATGTCACTCAAGACAGACTTCCTACAGTACTCTATACGCGGGTTTCTCCTCGTGAAGACCTATCAGGAAGAGCTGGTGAAGAGCGCCGACTATAAGGAGCGAGAGATCGCACAACTGTACGGACAGTTTGCTCAGCACTCCTTCCCCTCTCAATACATGACTGGCCACTCATTCGTTGAGTACCTGACCAAAGCTGGTCTGCCGGCGACCGACGCTCCCCTCGTCATCGACCCCTGGAGTCTGTTCCGCGCCTTCACTCAATGCAAGCCTTTCATGATTTTCCATGAGTTCCTGTTAGGTCTGTGCGCTCTCGAGGCTCGTGTAGTACACGGCGGACACACCGGCGAACTGCGCGCCACTTATATGTACTATTATTACGTGAAACTCGAGGACAAAGACCTGGGAATGGACTCCGAGGCCATCAGTCGCGTGGTTCAGGACGTGAAGCGATCGAACGGTCAGACACTGGAGGGCACAGCTCTAGAGGAAGAGGTGCGACGAACCTATCAGGCGATCGGACTGGAGATGAGTCAGAAGATCACATCCAAAGTGTTCGTCAAAAGCATTGGCGACAAGAAGTTGAGGGGAACCGCGAAACTGTTGCGCTCTTCGGCCTCGCCTTTAGAACAGTTGCGACTCAAACCGGTCTACGAAATGATTGCTCTCCAGAAACAAACTCCGGAAGCGATGGCACAACAGAGCGATGGGACGGCCGGCGCCTCCATTCCGGGCACTTGTATGCGTTGCCGCCAAAAGAAGTACACTTTGGCCGCGCATTCGGTGAAACTGTCGAGAGATGGACTGGTGGTCGACCCGCACGAGAACCGCAACCAATCAGATGTCCAGCGAATGGGCAAAAGTCTGCGCCGAATGTCTGACCAGTGTTTCGTCGGCTCCACCACTGCTAACGTCTTACTCGACATCCTTAGAGCCTATGGCAAGTCGGCGGCCGTTAGTGGACAGGGAGTCAGTGGTGGAGGAAAGACAGGTGCGGGCACTCGCGGACAAGTTGTGGACTGGGGTCAGAGGAATGAACGCCAGGGTCTGGTGGAGCGCATCGACCGACTGTTATCTCAGGCGGAACTGGTGTTTAAGGGAGAGTCGCGTGTAGTGCGGGTGTCATCGCCGGTGTATGTCTTGGGCGACATCCACGGCAACCTCCACGACATTATGGTATACGAGCGCTCGTTGTGGAAGATGGGACCGACATGTTTGGGCCAATCCTTCCTCTTTCTGGGCGATTATGTGGACAGAGGAGAGCACAGCGTTGCGTGCATTCTCTACCTCTTGTGCCACAAAGTGATGTCACCCCAGAAGTATTGGCTCCTCCGCGGCAATCATGAGCTCCGATCAGTCAATCAGAGCTTCACTTTCAGGAATGAATGCCTCGAGAAGTTCGGCGAAAGTGTGGGACAGAAGTTGTGGAAGAAGTTCAACACAGTCTTCGATTTCATGCCCATCTGTGCCGTCATCGATGAGTCGATATACTGCGCCCACGGAGGCATTCCCACCCCCATCACCACCATCGACGAGCTCTACGCCATACCGGCCCCACTCAGGGATGCGGAGTACGAGTCGCCCATCGCGTGGCAAATTTTGTGGAGTGACCCGATCACCAGTCAGCAGTTCCGCGACTATCAGCAATCCATGCCTCCAGAGCCGTCCGCTTCCAGTCAGACCAGTGTCAGCAGCACTACCACCAGTCAGATGAGTGACACAAAGGCGTCCATTGTCACCGGCTTACTGCCCAACACAAAGAGGGGCACCGCCTTCTACTTCAGTGAACAGGCGCTCAACCGCTTCCTCAACGCCAACCAATTGTCTCATGTGATCAGAGCTCACGAAGTGATCCCCAATGGCTTTGCCTACCATATGGGCGGCCGTTGTATCACAATATTCAGTAGCAGTAGATATTGTGGCGGTTTGAACGAAGCAGCCGTCATCCTAGTGGCCGACCACAAGATCCGGGTCATCAAAATTGAGACCTATTAGAGACACCCATCAGTCATATCAGTCACCCATCAGACACATCACACCCATAGATCCGTTTCCCAAAAGACATATCCTTTAAGCAAAATGATCTCATCTTTCAATTTTGCTAAACACCAATAAAAGTAGTCATAAAGTCTAATATTGTCTTAAATTATTGTCATATTTTTAATTTATTATAAAACTATAAAAATATGAATTATTATCATATAAATGTCTCAATTTTATGTTTATTGTAATATTTTCATAATTATATTTTAATTGAATTTTTTGTTATCATAAATGTTTTATAAAATGAATTAAACTGAGAAATGAATGTAATATTTGTTACTAATTTTGATCTGATTTTATATTCATATCAGAATGTGATTCCACATTAAGTGATGTGAGTCTGAATAGGGTTTTTATTGGTATTACTATATAAACATTACATAGTACTGTACAAATTCTGTACTACAGAATCTACGCTATACTGTATACAATGCCATACTAATAAAATTGCAATTAATTTAACAAAGGTTTTTCCCATAAAAAAATAAGCGGATTAAACAGTTTTCACTTTTTATGGATTGTTATGAATTAATTTATTATCACGAGAAATGAATTCAGTGTTTTAATTTGAATATTTTTTATACGGAACTAGACTTTATTAAATTTATTGGAAAGTTTATTCAAAAAATTATAACTTACTTTGAAGTGTTGATTTTATTTATTTCAATTAACCGAGTATTTCAATTTAGTAACAAATTGGAAATATGAATACTTTTAAAAAGTTAATCAAAGAATCCAAAATTGAATCAAACAATCAGAAAATCTTTAAGCATTTGACTCATTTTGAGAAGAGAATGAATTTGCTGGCCATTGAAGTGGAGATTGAATTCAAGGAACCGATTCCTGACATTAAGACACAAAATGAGATCCAGAATTGGATTGAAAAAGTCGAAGAATATCTACAGAAATGTGAGACAAAGTTCGCAAACGATCGCAAATGGATATCAAAAGCGCTCCAATGGATGACTAAATGGGATGATTTGAAAAGTCAAATGAGTTTTGAAGAGAAAAATCAATTGAAAAACATTCGCAAAGCTCTCAAACAAACAAATTATTCAATTTTGTCGGCTTTTGAAACAATTGACCACTACATCAATGTCATGAAAAGTCCACTCAAACTAGAGATCCCTTTGATTGAGACTCTAAGTCAGCCTCAAGTGGCAAATGAGACAAATCTTCTTTCATTTGCTGGTCAGTCAGTGAACCACTTGTCAACCAAACTGTCTTCTGTACACATATCCAGATCTTCGAGTTCTCCGATGCATTCAACACAACCACAAACTCTTTCATTTGAGCAAAACTTTCTGCAATCCTTTCCTCCCATTCCGTTATCAACGCCATCACAACGAGTACAACAACTCGCAAATCCGTAACCATTTGTACTACAATTCTGTTCATTCATTCAAAATTCTAGAGTTTCTCAATAAAATCAAATCTTTTAATGTTTACTTTAAATCAATTTGTTTCTATTATACCTATAATTACAGTATTATCTTTTGTGAACTTTATACTATTTTACAACTTTTTAGTGATCAAAGCAAGATTTTGACTTTGTTTTCTCAAATTATGATAAACAAGATTTTTAAATTTATATTTTGTAGTTAAAGACAATTTAATAGAGTCTTATTGTATTTTTATCGGTTATTCTCACATCTCTAACAGTTTATTAATGATAATTATTGTTAGTTTATTATATTAGGGTTTATTATGTTAGATAGTATAATAATTATAAACAAAGTATCATAACATAGTTATTGTTATTAATTCTTTTTTTTGTAATTAATAAGATCTTTATTTTTACTGTTAATAAAGTTTGCTATTTTTATGCAATAATTGTTTTTTTAATAAATTTTTATTTATTTGGTTTTCATATTTCACTGGATTTGTTAAAAGGCTCTTAAAATATATTGACTCAAACAACAATAAACTTCTATTTAATTGAGAAAAACCCAACTTTTCTTTGGAAGTGCTGTTAAATCTTAGATGTCAAGGATAAAGTGATTGAAAGCTAAGCTTTGGTAGAATAATGTAGTTTTATATTAATATTAATTCATGTCTAATAATAAGCTGACATTTATGTTCATTTATTTATTCCTTTAAATATAGTTTTTATTTTACAGAGAGATCTTATTTGACTCATATTTGTCGTAAATCCTATTTTTCCGGTATATGTGTTATGAGATTTTCAGGAAATCAGTTTATGTGTTATTAATACAGTTAAGGAGTTTTCCCCTGTTCATTTTGAACATAAATTTATAATAACTGATTAAATGCTTACAAAATAATGGTGGCTTTAAATGAGTCAATCATTGTATCAGATGTTAAGAGTGGTAACATTACTTACCATCCAATTAATGAAGACTCAAGAGATTGGATAGTTTTGGTCTTATACTTGATAACATGTATTCTGGCAATTGTTGGAAATATATTCATATGTGTTGTCGTATATAATAAGAAGAATCTGAGATCAACCACATATAAGCTGATCGTAAATATGGCCATATCTGACATAATCGGAGGTCTCGTGATTCCGGGTCAGTGGCTATTCTGCTGGACTTATATGTTAGAGAAGGGAGAAGTGGGGCACAGAATCTGCGGAATTTCCAAATCACTTCAAATACTTTCCTATTATGTGTCAACATTTTCGATGACAGCCATAGCCATCGATCGGTACCGTCTTATCTGTAAGCCATTAGCAACGAGAATGGGTCCACTTATTCCTATACTAATAACCTGGGGTCTGGGCATCTTATTCACATCCACTACATTCTTCTCAATGAGAGTATCAGAATATTTCTCTCCAACTCAAGTAAGCATTCATTACTAACACAACATTTTTATAACCTTATCCAGGTTATAACCATGTCCATTGTTATAACCAGGTATCCTTAAAACCTGTTGAAACTTATTTTTATTAGTGATTACGGTATGAATTAATTAAATATAAATTATTTAAAGGGAATTATTGGTTGTCGAGTGATATTCCCATCGGATGTTAGTCTAATTCTGAGAAAGATGAGAGTAATGCTGGTTATTATCACCCAATATGTGATCCCACTGTCAATAACCAGCTATTTCTATGGTATGGTTGTGTACACCGTATGGCAAAGGGAACAAATTGGAAGCGCTTCAGAGAACAAGACAAAGACATTCAATAAGAATAAGAAGAAGACAATAAAAATGTTGATAACAGTGACTGTCCTGTTTGGGTTGGCCTGGTTTCCCACACAACTCATGCATTACCTCAAGTTCTATACAAATGTTATCCCAATAAACAGCAATGTCAAATGCAATGCAACCACTTTTTATATGATATGCTATTGGCTCGGAATCAGTAGTTGTTCTTATAATCCATTCATATATTGCTATTTCAATAAGGATTTTAAGAATCAAGCTCTTGGTTACTGGAACCGTATGTTTCCATGTCTTAAGATTGAGATACAAACCAAAGATAAAGGAGAAGATAGTGGGACTAATGCCACCTCTTCTACAGATAACGCTTCGACTAAAGTCTAAAATTAACAATTTGCTAATTAAATCATAACACAAATCTGTATATTATATTAATAACCATAATTTATATATACTGAGTATATTTCAATTATTTATATATATATGAATATGTACTGCAATACTAATATATCGTTTACGCGCAAACAATATTAAAATTTGTTAACTTAAATATAGTTCAAACGGATCTATTGACACATAAATACATAAGTGGTATAATTATATGATAAATAATGGTCAATAATTCAGATCAAGTGACTGATCCATCAGTTCTGAACTTGAGTCCAACACTGACTCCAGCCATATATGAATCCATAAGGAGTAAGAATATAATAAAACTCTGTTTTGTTTAACTTTAAAACGATTGAACACTTAATGTATTGATAACCAACAGACGGGTTCTTGATTTCTCTCATTCTTCTTCTGGTGATATATGTATTGCAAGCGCTTTATATAATCGTCACTTTGATTAGAGTCGCCGTTTCATCGGAAGAGAGCGTCAAATACTATCCAAAGCCCAGTAGCCTCTGTTGTGACTTAATTGGCTGTCTTATGAAGATTATGATTCCTATCTCTGGAATATTGTCGACTAGTCTAAAGGACATGTATGCCTTCCCATTGTCGGCAATAAGTTGTGCCACAATCTGCGGAGTCTTACTCAATGACTTTATATCACTCATCTCTATATGTAATACAGGTTTGCATTTCAATCAACAATATAACTGTAAATCTGATTACAGTACTAATTATGAAATGTTATAATAGAGAGACATAACGAATACACATTGAGTTACGGCTTTATTCTGATGGGAGCGGTAATCGTGGAAAGTATTGCCCTCAATGTCGGCTCATTTTATTGTTACTATTCTTTCCAAAAATACAAAGAGGATCACAAAGACCATCGGTTCTGGCCATTGAGTTAGACCTTCAATACGTTTAAATGAGTTTATTAATGATATTTAAGTTAGGAATATATTACAAAATTGTTTCATTTAATACATGATATTTAGTTAAATTATATTAAAATAAAAATAATAGTTACAAAATAAAGTTTATATCAAATGAAAAAATTAATTAAATTAATAAAAAGTATAGTATAATGTAATTAAGTTAATGATTGATATAATTGAATACAGTATTAGTGATAAGTGTCGCACACATAGAGTCGAAACGACTAACAAAAGGCACACAAACAACAAAAATCACTACAAATAGTTGTTTAATAGTTGGCAATCAATTTAGTTTGAAAACCAATGCCAGTGCGATGTCCGGTGCGATGTATTCACACATATCTATCAATAAATTCAGTGTTTGTATGACTCGATTGGGTGTTTATATTGCATAGAAGGCACTCAGCATTGACTCGACACTACTTGAACTGCTATTTATTTATAATAAGGGGGCGGTTGGCGACGCGTCTGAGGGCCCGAACCCGGAGGAAGTGCTTGATATGTCATTTTGGAACCACTACTGCTTAGCTGTCGTAAGGGTGTCATCTGTAAGACAATGCCACCAATCAATACATCACAAGACAACTGACCCGAGAGGACATACCTGTACTTGTTGTGGAGGAATATGTTGGGACTGTTGTTGAGGGGGCGGCATAATAACGGGCGTCATATTATACTGTTGGGGCTGTTGTTGAGAGACATGTTGTTGATGCTGTTGCTGTTCGAACTCGAAGATTATGGGAATCCTTCCCTTCTGTGTGAGACAATGTCACCAATCAATACATCATAAGACAACTCACACGAGAGGACATACCTGTAAGAAGGCTTCCCTTTCATTGAGTCCGGAGTCAGTGGGCAGTCGTGAAGAGATCTCAACGCTTTTCCTGCGTTTGTTAGCCCTATGGAAACAACAGCCGACTATTGCCGCGAATATCAATGCAATGAGTATAGCGACCGGAGGTATGATAGTTGTCAACAAGAACTCATTGGATTCATCGATGTCTATGGCATTGCCCACCTCTTCGTCCTCTTTCACCGTGGGTTTGGTTGGCGTCCATTCAGTGGAGGGCGGGCTCGTCATGGGAATGGGTCTGTGGCCCATCACTTTGGCATTGAGTTTGCCTTTACAAACACCTATCGGCTGGAACTCCACGTTAATTAAGTCATAATTTGGTTCAAATACTTCTTTAAGAGCTTTAAGGCTGTCGTAATCTCTTTGGAAAATACGTTTCAAAATGTTATCAGTTATGAGATCTTTAGGACAGTTCTCGTGTCCAACAATCGTCCGATTGGTCCACTTGTACTCGAAGTAGTAGACAGAGTTGGTGTCTCTCGTGTGGCGCGTTTTGGGCAACGAGTCGTGTCCTTTGCCGTGTCTGTGGTTTCTGTGCTTTTCGTCCACATTCTCATCCAATGGATCCGATTCGACATAATTATTATTATCGTCGGCGTATGCCTGCGACAGTCCGTCGTATTGAAACTTTTTGACACTTAAGATATGGACAGCACTGGCGTCACCGTCGCTGAACATTCCCGAAGAGATGCGGTGGACGATAGCCACCTGTTCTTTGACAGTGAGATCTTCCTTGACTTGAGGCGCCATTAAGTTGATTATTATCTCAAACATGGGTTGTTTCGACTGATCCGTCAACTCATCATTGACTTCGACGGAAAAGATGTCGGAAACAGATCCGCCACTAATGGTGTCCTCAGCTATAAGTTTGAGTTCATAAGAATTGACCCATTTTTGGACCAGAGCTAAGCCATACAATTCCTGTTCATCGGAATCAAAGTACATAAACGCCGGCATTTCTGGCGGTTCTATAGCTTCGCACGTAAGGGACAGGTCTCGAGTGCCCACCTGTCGGGCCGGAGAGAACACAGTGTCCTCAGGAATCTTGTATTTAAACGCCTCTCCGAGTCTGAAAGGACCGAGTTTTCCGATACGGTTTCGGAATATCGGAAACTCTTTGGGTTTCTTGTCGTCAATGTCTGGTATTTCATACGAACCGCAGGCGCTCTTTGTTATGAAATTCAAGTGAACTTTTTGGACCTGATATTCAGGAGCAATGATTTGCCGCAACAAACGACTCGGTTCTGCAGAGGAGTCGTCGTACACTTTGTGCGAGTCATGAAGTCTCGCGTATAAGCTTTGTATCACTTCTCGTGGACAGGGATGGGTGGGAAGCGTGTCGTTTGTCCACGAAATGGTCCTATTGAACAGCAAATGGTTAGCAATGGATTCATGAGTTATACTATACTATCAGCTGACATACCATGAGTTCTCCCTATCGTTTTTGATGATCTTCTGAACAGCGATGGTCTGAATGTTGGAATCAGAGTAGAGTCTTGTGGTGACGCGCCTTAAGAGGGAAGAAGTGGCGTCAATAAGACACGCGAACTGGAAGTGATCCCAAACAACGTTGGAAAGCGTGAAGATATGAGTGAAGGCACGGGTGTTCTTATGTTGGCGCACATGGACTTCGAGTGTTTCAGTCACGTGAGCGCCACTCGAGTCGACGGCCACTAAATTGAATAAATGTTTGCCAATGTCCTCATCGGTGGGCAAAGCGTAGAGATATTGGTTCTCGTGATCGAATTGGATCCAGAAGTCGGACGATGGCTGCTCTTGCGTTGAGCCGGACGTAGACATAAGGAAAGTGAGCTTAAGTTTGCGAGTGTCTCCGTCTTCGAAGTCCACAAATGTTTCCGAAGGAATCGTATATTTCCAGTATTTCCCAGAAATGAGTTCCAGTTTTCGTATCCTTTTGTTAATATAAGGAGTTTTGTTGGGAACAGAAGAGGGAGGGCTCGGGATTTCGGCCGCACTTGTGGTCGGCTTTTCCTTTTCAGTTGTCATCTCTATTTGAGATGAAGTTATTTCGGGAGCCATTGAAGGACTCGGAGCTATCAGTATTGTGTCCGACTGTAGGTGTGGTGACTGAAGAGTTTGTGTGATTGGAATCGGAGTGAATAAGTCTTCGCGACCCTCGACTAGTGTCGGTCTTTCGGGGGCCAACACAGGAGTCGTGTAAATGAATGGCGTCTGGAATTTGTTTGGTTTCAAGTGATGGTGTCTGTGATCGTGTCCGCCGAGGATCGAGTTCTCAATGGGATCGCCAACCGGTAGGGAAACTGTCGCCGAACTCATCGCTACCGTTGGAGATGTCATCGAAGGGATGAGAACTCTGGAGAGCGGGTCCTGATGTGAGGGCTCTCCTCTGTTATCAATCGATGGTATGATCGTTGATGTGGTTAATGTCATCCAATCTGGCGCTAAGATGGGAGTGGGATGTATACCATTGGCCACATTCCTCTTGTAATGAGAGGTGCGTTCATCGGTTCGATGATGCGATACATCCATCATATCGTTGAAGAGTTCGTTTTCATCCAATTGTTTTCGTGTGATCTCAACCACATCTGATTCAAAGCCCATGTTCTTAAGCTTGAGGTGAATCTCATCGGACCGGTAGTGGTCTTCAGAGTATTTGTTTGCGTTGTTTGTGTCACAGTTTTCGATGTCATAAGTGATTAGATACTGTTTGTTAGCATTGCGTGTCACCGAAAACCTTTGTAACCAATCAACGAATGCTTGAGATTTTTGATTACTTATCAAAGTGTTGGGGATTAAGGAACTAATGAGATGCCAGACATCGGATATGCTTTCAAATGTTTGCTTAATTCGTAAAACACAGCGATATTGTGGTAAATGGTTGGCTGCCTGTGAAGAGCCATCGCTCACATCGATGGCGAATATGTCATTCAACTGCTGTCTGCCGTCTGGGAAACAATTCATACATTTAGACAGACATTCATTTGACACCTTTTACTACAATTACTAAATGGTCTCGTAATGAGACACAAATACAATTGAGATTCAATTGCATGGAGTGTTAGACACAGTGTCAGACACTGTTAGCTCAAGAAGTGACAGTAAAACAGATTCAATGGTTGAGATATAAGTGATGTCTTAAAAGCAAATGAGTGGACAAATGGGTAAAACTCTTACAGAATTTCAGGTCGACTTCAATGAAGAACAACCCCTTCTCGAAGGGAATGCCAATCAACTCGTATGAGTCGCGCTTGAAGTACAGCCAATCGGGAAGTGTTAGTCCATCGCCGGCTAGACTCACATTAATGCTCTTCAAGTCATGTGTGGCCGACAATTGGATCTTATGGTGAAATAGTTTGCCTACAGATAATAGGTCACGGATTAAGCATTAGTTGGTGTTGTAGTCAAGTGGTGAGCGCTGAAGACAACGACAACGACATGACTCACCGACAACTGTCTGCTGATCCGGAATCTGAAGTGACTCAATACAAGTGACCAGAAGTGAGATATACGTGAAAAGAGTGAAGACTTTGGTTAACACATGAAGATGTTTGGCATTTATGTTGGCTTTCGTTGGAAGACATTTCGATATACAGTGAGAACTATTGAGGTGATGATGGCTTGCATGATATGAACCATTCGATGACATCTTATTGTGTAGAAAATGACACACTTTTAGCTGCTATTGGTTTCAGTGATCACAACACAAGACACACAGAATGACCAAAATGTGGACCAATTGTGTGTCCAATCAAAGATTTCTTCTCTAAAACTAAACTTAATTTCAAGTAAACATCGATTGAAGAGAAAGGCGTTGTCTATAGTATCGGATCTATTGAGCCATTAATGGCATCAAACACTTCATACACTCATACCTTTCGCTCACTCTTTCGTTATGTCTGTCTCTCTGTCTGTCTATCCGTGCATTCCATGGAAACCATATGAGAGCCCATAAAAAATTACGATAAAATCATTTTTGATTATCATTTAATTAAATGAAAATTTTGGTAATTATATGTAAATTAAGACAGTATTAAAATGATATATAATAATGTTATATGTAGTGTAAAATATAGCTTTTAAAATAAGCTATAAAATGAAACACTAGACATTATAGTAGGGCTAACATTCATGGAGTGTCTGAACTTGTTGTGTATATATTTAAAGTTTGAAGTGTTTTCTTAAGCATTAATTGACTAAAAGTTTTGATAAAAATAAACACTTTATGTAAACATAGGTTTGAATTACAAGTATTTCATTGATATCTCACTGAATGTCAAGTGATGTCCAAATTAATTGCCAACCGATTCCCGTTTTGCCGACATTTGCATCGATTTGCATCTGAGAAGACACTGTCCAAGAGGTGTCTGTCCACAAATGGCAATGAAGATAACCAGAAGAATACAAATTACGATATCGTTATAAACGGCGGCGGAATCGTTGGCTTTTCCACACTCTTAGCACTGAAGACATCACCATTTCTTAGGGATCACAACATTTGTCTCATTGAACGCCAATTGGAGACAAATGTGAAATCTTTGGACAGAAGTGATAATCAGTTCTCAAACAGAGTTTCGGCGATAACTAAGCACTGAAGACATCACCATTTCTTAGGGATCACAACATTTGTCTCATTGAACGCCAATTGGAGACAAATGTGAAATCTTTGGACAGAAGTGATAATCAGTTCTCAAACAGAGTTTCGGCGATCACTAAGTCATCGAAAGCATTCTTCCAACGCATCGGCGTTTGGGATCAATTCAAAGAGTTTGCGAAACCTGTCGAAGAGTTCTACGTTTGGTCTCAGAAGTACAAGAATGCCATCAATTTTACACATGATTTCAATGAAGGGCTTCATGAGGACAATGGACTCGTTTGCTATATCATCGAAAACAATAGGATTTTGTCTGCACTTCAGTCCAGAATCAATGAAATCGATTCTAACGTTAGCTATGAAACCATTGTCACTGATATCACAAGCGATGATAACTGTGTTCGAGTGGATACAAAAAGCCTAAAAAATGATTATTCAAAGAGTTTGACGACTAGACTGTTGGTCGGATGCGATGGCTTTCAGTCGATAGTCCGTCAAAAATCAAATTTCGTTAACTTTGAACACGATATGGAAGAGTTGGCAATCGTGGCCACACTTCACGTGTCACCCGGTGATGGAAATCCAGTGAATGACATCGCTTTCCAGCGATTTGTTCCCTTAGATAATACAGTCATTGGTTTATTACCACTGAATGAAGAATTCTCTTCAATTGTATGGAGTGTTCCCAAAGAGTTGGCCAAACCATTGATGGAAATGACTGATCATGAGTTTGTCGACCATTTGAATGACTCTCTGTTTATTGAAGGCATTCAGTCGTCTTCTATTACCTCATCAATTGATGACATAATAAGTCGTTTTGCGCCAAAGGAGGTGTTTGCCGGACAAACGCCCCGGTATTCCGTTCCGCACGTGTTGTCGGTATTACCCAATTCTCGGGCTTTGTTTCCCTTAAAATTCAGTACAACTCTTCCATATCTTGTGGGCTCTCCTCATGACTCGCAAAACAATAATAGGATTGTAATCATAGGTCTGTCTAACTATTGATTAGTTAAACATTATATTAAATGCAATGATTTGATTGCAATGTATAGGAGATGCGGCACATCGAGTGCACCCATTGGCGGGTCAGG